TGCTTCCACAGCCGAATATAATCGCCGATCGACTTTTCATCTATATATAGCTTTAATGGCTAATATCTCGTCTAGTGCTTCTCTATCCGGATTACCTCTAACCGCATAAATATGCCGACCCGCTCGACGACGGACGCCTAGCTAATTCCCGCTAACTTATCTATAGCTTCCCAAATTGCTCTTTCTATAGGCTTATTAGGCTCCTCTTCTACCTCTTTATAGGACCTCCTATCCCTATCCGGCTCTACCATAGTGGGCTCCCTAACGCACCGCAATAAATCTAGCCTCTACAGTCCACTTAAATACGGCTACCACTACGTGCGCTCTAACTACGGGTTCACCTCGTCCTCCTCTCCTTCTTAGATGCTGTTATAGGCCTTCTTCTCTATCTTTACCTACTACGCTATAATCTTACTACGAACCTACGTCTATAATACTTCGCCGCTAGCTACTAGCTCCTACTATCCGCCTTTTAGGGTCTCCTCTAGCTAATATACCTTAAAATACTGCGATCCGTGTCGGCGGGTAAAAAAACGCTAGTAATAGACTACTTTTACCGCCTTGTGTATTCGGCTCTTAATTCTTAACCTTTTTATCTTCCCGGACCCTCCACGTTTACATACTACAGACCACTAATACTCCTTACGCTAATGCTCCTTTATACTACTTAAATTCCGGTAAACGTAATGGCAACGGGTCGGCTCTAACTAGTATAATAAACCATCCTAGTATAATAGTAATTAGCTGATTGGCTGCGTTATAACACCTAGGACCTACAACTCGGTTAGATATCTAATTAAACCGGGCCACTCTTAGACGCGTTCTACAATCGATACGGCATTCTAGCGTTTCATCTTATACTATTTCCCTTGTAAATAGCCTTATATCTACTCTAGCTATACTATATATCAACATTCCTTACAAATCGCTAATTAGTATTTAGCTAAATACTCGAAAAACTCCCCTTCTATGTTAGCTCTTTACATGTTGGATATGTCTAATATTTAACTCTAACCACTAGGTTATAGTAATAGGTTATAGCTTATAGGTTGCAACTTATAGGTTATGGAAATAGGTTATAGAAACGGGTTTATAGGGGTTTATAAATGAACGCGTTGCTACCGCACGCGTCTTAGCCGCGATTTATAGCTTAACTTATAGCTTCATTCTACCTTACGATTCTTACCCCAACTTACCCTATCTATTAAATAATATAACAAATACGTAGGGGTTTTTTTATTTATATCTAATATAAATGATGCATCTCTATAGGCTTTCTTATATACTAAAATTTGGCGCGGTTCTAGGTACCTTTTCTAAAGCTAATGTAGCTTAAGCCAACCTAGCCTATAATGAGATGTTCGCACGGGGCGGAATATTCTGTCACTAATATCTAAACCCAAGCTATTAACGTTAGATTCACCGCCATGGGTTAGGATCTACTTATTCTCATTCTAGTGTACTTAGTAAGCCCCAACGTCGTTCTTAGAGATTCTAAGTAGTAGTAGCCGCTACTATAAGATCTCGCCTATAGGGAACTTAGCTGTCTACTATAGGAACTTCTTATAGATCTTCTTAATTAGCTTTAGCGTATTCCCCAAGCCCGCTAGTTTCTAGCTAGCGCTATAGTAGAAGATAAGCAGCTATACTACCTAAATTAGGCCTAATAGGTAGCTACTATAGTTTCCTAGCCGCATCTAGCCTAACGTTAACGGCTTCACGCTAAGTATTATATAGAAGCTTACTAATAGAAAAGTATATTACTTACTACTAAAGTTGTAGTAGATAAGCTGTATATATAGTGTCTTTAACGCCCTTTTTAAGACTAGGCTATTACCTATACTAGCCGCCTATAGCGTTCCTTCCCACACGTCCTACTACTCGCTACTAAGATAGATTATATCCTCTAGCTTACTTTGCTTCTAATACTACTACTACTACTACTTCTAGCTTTCTTCTATTATAAAGTAATCGCGGTCGACTACGCGGTATATATAGGTTAAGAGTTGCTTCTATAGGCTGAAGTAAGCTACTAGTATACTAGCTTCTTTATCTAGATTAAAGGCTTAAGTCTTCTCTAGTAGCTCTACCTTAGAGGACTAGAAGCGGTTTAGAATAATCTATTAAGGCTAGATTAATATGTAGTCTAGCCTATCGAAGTACTAGCTGTAAGCCTCTTATAGGATAGCCTCTATTCCCTCTAGTATAGCGGCTAACTCTAGCTTCTAGTTACTATCCTTAGGTAGAGTAATTAAGGCCCGAATTTTGTCTTTCTTTAGGTCTTAAATATACTCTATAATACCGGTCCTTCTTAGCTAAGGCACGACTACTAACTTATAGCTATTAAAGCCGTATACCTTATTAGCCTCCTTAGCTACATCGCGCTCTATCTACCTTAGATTCTTATTCTACAAGTAGAAAAACTTCTTCTCTTCTATTACTAGCGTCGCAGATCTTAAGTTAGTAGGCTTTATAGCCCCTTCCTCTACTATAAAATATCTAATATACTACGTCTCTGTAAAGAAGGTCTAGAGCTTATACTCAGCCTATAATACGGTTAGCTTATTATACTCTAAAGGCTTCTAGCCGTGCACCTATAATATATAATTCTTAATAGTTTTAAGACTTCGTGTAAGCCCCTTAGAGTAGAGGTAGTAATAGAAGCTATTATACTACTTAAGCCTATCGATCGCCTAGACGACCTTCTTAGCTAGATAGTAGATATTATCTAGCGCGAGCAGCCTATAAGTGGAGAAAAATTTGATTAAAGATTTTAGCTATTATCTGAATATTCGATGCGGTTAGTTTCTAAGGTATTACTTCTAGAGGTCTTATTTTAGTGGTAAATAGAACCTATACTCCGTGTAAATAAGTACCTACTATTTAGGATTATATATAAAAGCCTCTATTCTATTAATTAAAATATATATAGTTGATATATAGGAGCCTTACAATATTCCTTCTAGCTTAGACTATATAAAAAAAAGAAAGAAAAGACCTCCTTTCACTATATTGGGGTAGATAGAATTATAGTAATTTAATTGCGCTTACTTAGGCCTATACGCACCTGTAGGTAGGGGTGGTGCAGCTAATTAACCCGCTAGAAACTAGAAGTGCGGTGCACTTCTCGCGAAAGATAAGGGGTAGAAAATATTATTAGGAATTTAGAAGAAAAGTTAGGTTACCTCTACTTAAGAGTCTCAACCTTTTTAATTGAAAATAACTTACCTGTTACTAGTTAGAAGAAATAACTCTTCTACTTAGTAAGCTCTTTTTTAAGCTATATATAGTAAAGATTCGCCTTTATAATTACTTATTTAGCTTTATAGAGCTTTTTACGAATTTCTTCTCTTTAAGTATATAACTACTCCTACTTCTAATAAGTAACAACTAGGTTATATTTAGTGTCTAAGAATATACACTTTATATAGTAACCGGAATAGATGTCTATATAATAGAATAGCAACTTAGACTAATAGTAACTATATAGAGTAGGTATATTAGAACTAGAGGAATATAAGTAAGAAATTAAGTTATAATAATATTCTATGGAGAATTATTTAAAGCTAGTAGAACCCTACTATTTAACTATTAGTTTCGGGAAGGTTAGCTTAGGCGCTTTTAGTATATTATAAAAAGAAGGTAAATATACCTTTTAAGATAAAAGCTAATAGGAAAGGGAGATAGTATTATAAACTATAATATATAGTATAGGTTAAGATTAATTAGTATTAAGTATCACGTGTAGGACTAATTATAGGGTGATTCATTTTAGGTATTACGTATAGAACTAATTATAAGAAATATCTAGGAAGCCTAATTAGTAGAATTAGTGTGATTAGTCCCTAATTACACTAATTAAAGGGATTATAGTATAGGTATACTAGTATATAGGTAGCACTATTCTCACTTATTAGAATAGTATACTTAACTTAAATAAGAATCTAGTATTCTTTATAACTAATTTGATTATTACTTATAATATTAATTCTCATCTTATTAACTATATCTTAGTACTATTCCCTACTTGCTTAATTAGGACCTCTACTTTATAGTTAATTTTATTACTATAATACCTCTTACTAGAATCTTAGGCTATACTACTAGAGTAATAGCTAAGTATACTAGAGAGAGTCTAGATAGTCTCTTAATAGTAGCTTTTATATTAGTACTTCGAATAGTCTACTAGTTTATACTTCGAAGTAGTATATTATCTAGTAATAACTCTATAGAGTAGATACTAATATAGTTTAAATGTAACTAGAGAAGATATATATCTATATATTTACTCTTATTAGTCTTTATCTATAATATTAGTAACTAGTGCGGAGTATACTACTATACTTTAACTAGAAAAAGTAAGATAATAGAGTTAGAAGTCCTAGAGCTTAAAGTTGCACTCGGCCTAGATAATAGTCTAGCTAATCTTATACTTCTAGTATATCTTATCTGTCCCTAACCTCGCAGTCTTAGATCCTTCCTAAGTTTGTTAATATCTTAGCTATAACTCGTTAGGGCTAGCCAAGCGGCACAACCCGCACGGGGCGGGCAGCCCCTGCACCTTCATTTAGCCTCATGCACGGGCTAAGGCCTTTCGCGCCCCAGTCGCACCCCCACCTCCTCAATTGCTCCGCGCTTTCGTGTGCCTCACATCTTCACGTATTTGCATACACAATTGAGTGCGTCCGACGTGTCACCGAAAGAGCTCGACCCCTCCGGATTGGTCCTCTCGGGTATAGGATAGTTCGACATCACAAGGACCTTGCTCCGACAGCTACATCAATTCAGTTGCGTTGAAACCGCCGCATGATCCCACTAAGGCAGCCCGAACTGGATTTAGTCCGTCAACCATCTCGATGTTGAGCAGAACTCCCCTAATACAATGCATACCCGTGGATTGTCGAGCACTGATGACCCTCGTGCAGCGCCAACCGAAGCATCAGAGCAGACTTTTCTTCCCTTAACTGAGATACTTCCGCATTTAGGAAGTGCCTTCTTACCCTCTCCTCTCTCGCCCGGTTCTGCAGCTCGTCGGCTAGCTGTTTCCTCTTTTGTCTACATCGGCCTGCAGCCAGTCTATTTTTTTCTAGGGATTTCTCGCGCTTCGCCGGCTCTTCCGTATCTGCATCCGTGCTGGCCTTGCTGGCCTTGCTGGCCTTGCTGGCTTCGCTGATCTTCCTAGCTTCTGACGGCCTTCGCGTCTCTGTAACCATCATGTACTGTTCATCCCGTATGTCGTCTCTCTTCCGCTTGGTTCCGCTTCTTCGTGAAACGCCAGACTCCCAGCTCTGTCGCACAAACGTGACCGGTTCGTTTTCGGAAGGTAGGATTTGTTCATCAACAAATGGGAGGATATCGTCTCGCGGGTTTGTTTGAAAATCATGCTGCAGCCAGGTACTAGCTGGTCTTTCGGCAGCCAATGGATGAAAGGGTGAGGGATGACACATCCAAGCTTCATTATTCGGTTCCCCCACAAATTCCGTTGGTGGAAGCCCCGACCACACTCCCGTGTTCTCTATCCGTGAAGCGGCGCGTCCTCTAGGGGAAGGCGGATGCTGACTGAGAAGTGCCGTGTGGTTCGGAGGCAAAAGCGCAAAACTAGGCGAGACAGCAAGGTTATTGATAGGGGACTGGAGCATGTCGTCTGCACAACATCTAGGGTGTTTGCTGTTGTATGCGAAGCTTGCGTCCGGGGGTCGATCAACCCGGAGCGAGCTCGATGATGAGGAGGCATAATCGAACACCGTGTAAGGCTGGGAACTCCAGGCCATCGTGTTGTCTGATACCGAAAGTCAATATCTGATTCATGATACCCGAACTATTGGTGTGATCGCACTCGGAAATGCTTCTTGCAGTGGTAATTGCACTCTCCAGAAGAGAAGAGAGAGCCAGCACGTCTCCGAATGGAGTGTGTGCTTTGATAACAAACAGCGAACGGAGCTCCACGGACGCGAATTTGAGTATTGTCTCGGTGGTTTGAAAGGTGTGAGGCCGAGGATAACATATGAGTGAGAGGGGATCTGGAAGATTCTGAGCCAGGTTGGGCATGCTCGGAGACACAATGGGAGCAGAATTATCTAAACTGTAGATGAGCGGGACAAGAGCTATGATCACCAATCGTCGATCCACCAGCGCCTACAGGAGGCAACGAAGGCGTGTTAGCAACAAGTTGTTTTTTTCCTTCTCCAATGTGGTCATTGCTAGCTCTCAGTAGAACCGCACTATTCTTGCGTGCAGCGTGTCTGCCAAGAAATGCAGAGGTTTGATGGTGCAATGAAAGTTAACCAAAGGTAGGGATACCTTTGTTCGAGCCCTGCTTCGGTGCAGAATCTCAAGCTGAACACCTGCAGGACGGGAAACACGGTAGCCAGTTCCCGGTGCATGTATGCATCAGTTAGAGCCCGGCACCTGCAGGCTGTGCCAAAGAGCGTATCGGGCTGTCTCGAAAGGTTTCATAGGTTGTGGTAGGGGTCGGAACGGGCGGCAAGGGTCCGACACCGCGTCAACCGCGGTACAAAAGTCTCCAGCGACCGTTAACCAAGCAATTACAAGCCCTGGCGATTGCGCACTTAGGAGGCGGGTTGTAGGCTAGTAGTAGATCCCCCCACCTGGAACAGCCATGTGGGGCGGCTGAGAGTTGCCGCAAAGATCCTGGAGATCGGCGCGACGATCTCCGGATCCAATGCTAGGGGCCTGCGTTGGCGCAGCGCCAATTGAGTCTGAGATCAATAGAACAACTGTCTCTCCAGCTCTCCCTGTCGCTTTTGTCAGCCTCAGTCCCGTATATGATACTCCTCAGCATATTTCCGAAGTAGATGTGCAGTGTTCGGCATCGTGCGACCGTCCAACGGACGAGAGTCCACTCGTTCGTCTCGTCCGACACGACGTTTGAACGACGTAGACAGTCAGGTAATATGCTAGCTACTTAAAGCAACCTACTACCTAATCCTAAATTAACCTCGGTAGAGTCATAACGTCATTATATTCTTAATCACTAGGCAGGAATAGGGTAGAAGTATCCAGTGTCCGGTTCCGCGTAAGGATCCAGTTAACCAACCACAGCGATGCTTCTTTCTTCAAGACCTACGATACTATTGTTCATTTGCCTTAAATAGTTAGCGGTTAGCTAAAGCACCAGGTGCCGTTCACGATCTAAACGGACGATTCCAAGATGGACGACGTTTACGTGATTTCAGTCGGGTGATGCCGAACACTGTATGATGCTGAGGATTTCGGCAACAACCGTCTAGCTACGTTCTCCTAGACCGCATGTTGCTTGTGCCACGACGCCACGAACGCCAAACCCACCCACTCAGCGCATCCTTGGAGTCAAGCGCGGTCCAACGCGTTCCCTGATTCTGAAGTTCAGAGAGGTTGGTCGCACCCTCTTCACGTCCAAACACTTTCCCACCTCCAACTAGTAACGCAAACCACACAGCAAAGTCATGGCTGGGGAAGGCAGTCAGCGTTCTTCCCTCAGCTGCGCCAAGTCGTTTCTGTCTACGAGCAGGCCTTGGGCATCACCCCGCCGCTGTCCATATCATAGTCGCTGCTTTTGGAGTCCTAGAATTAACCCTATGCTTCGCACTCGGCGCCCAGTATTATCCCACTACATCGATCTCGAGATCTGAAGACGTTGCAGCAAGCAGTAGTATTGGGAAGCTAGCTCGACCGGCTTCGTGTTATTAGCTAGTGAAGGCTGCTCTCATTAGCTTCGCATCGTGTGTTTCCGCTTTGCCGTAGTCTCTTATTCTGACTGGACCGACCCTCTCTATGGCAGTTAAGCATCACCGAGATAGGCTCACGGTACTATCGGGCTCTAGAAACTGCAAACGATAGACTGCTATCTCTTCACACCACTTTCTCCGCCGAATGTCGCTGCACATGTCTGCGTACACAGCGGTCGTGGAGGGCGTCGGATTGTAACAGTAGAAATGTAATTTCCAGCAGCTTTCTAGGGAAACTTCTCATTCGACAGCTCAAATGAATTGATCCTTCCAGCCCGCAGGGCTGGAACGTGTAACATGCAACGTGCTTCCTACTCGGGTAGTCAGAGCTTGTGCTCACCATGAACCCTGATGGACCACTACTCTAGATGCATGTACTCGCAGGTGCTGTCCGCAAGTGCCTATCCAGGCAACCCTAAAAAGAAACTGCAGACCTCCGGATCCACAGCTGCTCTGCCGCCCTGTGTATCTTGTCACTTATCCGTACACGTTCTGATACTGCGAGAATGACTGACGCAAAGCAGGCTGGTTGACTGTACGTATGCTGCCCGGCCCTGGAGGACAACATCTAGTAGTGTGTTCAAAGGTATTCGCATGGATCGCTACTGCCGCTACACCTCCTTTCTTATTCGCCGAGCTTGCTCAAGGTCTGCTCATTCTGGACTATGCCAACTACGTTACGGAACGTTGGCATGTTACCCTACTAGCAATCAGCTTCACAGCTATCGCTTTGCTCAGCAACATATATACGAGGAAAGTACTTGTCGCTATTAAGCTTATAGGAGGGGTCTTGCATGTCATCGTCTTTTTCGTTATTATTATAGTTCTCGGAGTAGTGAGTGCCTTCGTCTCAGGTCACTCCGACGAAACCCGTCACTGATTGTGGTGCAGATGGCCCGGCGGAGCACTGCAGTATTTGTCTTCACCCAAGGGGATTTCAATCTAAGCAGCTGGTCAAATGATGGTGTCAAATTCAGCATCGGGTTGCTCACTGTCGCCTTTCCTTTATGCGGCAAGCTCAAGCAATTCCAACAACATGAGGCACGTTCTTGCATTCCCAGGTTTTGACGGTATACTCCACATGAGTAAGTCAGACCACCTCAACGCTCACCTCCAACCCAAACTAAGACAAACAAGCGCGGAGGTCAAGGATCCTTCCCGCAAAGTTCTACAAAGCATGGTTTGGGGAGTTGTTATCAATGCTGTTTTAGCTATCGCGTTCACTACCTGCCTCTTATTCACGATCGGCGACTTGGATGCGGTCCTAGCCACGTCCTACGGATACCCCATCATCGAGATCATGTACCAGGCGACAAGACCGAAGGCCGGGGCTACCGCTCTAATTATGCTTTACATGGTTGCGGGCGGTATCTCCTTGTTCAGTTGCCTCGTCTCGGTTTCTCGGTTGACTGTGAGGGTAATATGACTCCTGTCTCATGATCACTTACTTATTGTCTGCAGTGGGCTTTTGCGCGCGACAGAGGACTTCCCTTCTCTACTACCCTGGCCTATGTGAGAGCGATCTTTGACTCCCGTCTCATGATGACCTACTTATTATGTGCGACAGGTCCACCTTACTCTCCTAATCCTCCTCAACTCGCTTTGGCTCGTCTCCGGCCTCATCGTGCTCCTCCAGTTCATCATTATCGGCTCAACCTCCGCCTTCTTCGCGGTCTTATCCCTCGTGACAATATCGCTATACTTCTCCCAAATCTTCCCCATCCTCTTCCTCGTGCTGAGGAAGCTGAGGGGCGCGCATCCGGCCTACGGTCCCTGGCATCTGGGCAGGTGGGGTCTTCCCATCAACCTGGTTGCGCTCGCCTACGCCACATACATCACGATCTTCTTGCCCTTTCCGCCTTTTCTGCCTGTCATGCCTGCCAATATGAACTACGCGGGCTCGGTTCTGGGTTTTTTTCTTTTGCTTGCTCTGGAAGACTGGTTTGTTAGTGGTCACAGCCGGTTTCGGCTTGCTAAGACGGAGGCTGAGTCTGCGTACCCTGAGGATTAAGGGATCTGCTCTTAGTACCGTTACGGCTGGGCAAGCTGGGCTCTAGTAATGGAATAGGGACATTCTCGGTGCACAGACGTCATACAGATGACAGCGATTAATTTCACAATTGATGTCGCCCCATCGGAAGGGAGCCACTCTCAGCAAAACAGCGTCAGAGCACGTAGCAGCAAACTCTGCAACCCCAGCCATGCCTTCTCACGCCCCCTTCAACTTAACTGTTGGGCCCCGCCTGTCAGAAACGATACCATCAACCAGCTGATACTCATCCTCCCTGTGCCTGCCCGCCTCACGATCCTGCGCTCTCCCCCACTAGGCTATCTCGTCGCCAGGCGGATAATAAACCTGCCAACAGATCCGTCAGAGCAAGCCGCAGCTCAAGGTACGCCACGCGCTTGTAAGCTGAACGGGCAGGATGCCGCGCGGACCCGCGGTTACGCTTTCAGCCGTGACGTCTTCCGCCGAACTGACGAGCCAGCGCTTAGGCCGATACGTATACGGCGTTTGGAAGTATGCCTCGCTCTAGTTGATGGCATATGCGGGCGCCTCGATGACGGTGCCGGCGGAGATGAAGGCACCGTCCATCTCAATACCGCCGGGCAAGACCTCGTGCGGGAGGCGCGTATGTAGCGCAGAGCTTCGTGGATGTAGGCAGTCAAGCACTTGCAGGCTGAGAGCTTGGCGCCGCTGCATATATCAGCCGGGGGAGAAGCGAAGGTTGCGCGCAGCTCGGCGGCGACATCAGCAAGGGTGGCGGAGTCAGAAGAGGGCGAAGAAGTTGTGGCAATTATGTCGGAGGCTGCGGAGATGAGGAGACCGACGCCTGCCAGTGTTTCAGGCACGGTGTGCGCAGCGAGCTCAACATGAAAAACGATCGCGAGGCACTGTGCATGATGAATTTGACTCTTTCCGGCCAGTCATTCTTGATCGTATCTGCGAAGTTCAAGGAGCATCGCATAAACTTTGGACTGCCTGCAAGATCTTGACTGGGATGGACTGCCGATGATATTTCAGATCCGCAACGCCTTAGCTAAGGTCCGTACTCCTCGCAACGGCTTGCAAGCAGGCACCGTATGTTTTCATCTCAGTGCGCAACCTTATTGATTCTTTCTCCATTCCTACGCCGCCAATTCTCGTACCTCTCGCATTAGACCTTCGGGGTGTTCCAAAGCGGCAAAGCGGCCACTATCGTTGCGTTCTGCAGAATAGTGTATCATCTGTTAGCTCTCTCTATCCCATACCGAAGAATGGGCAGCACAAAAGTTTCACAATGCGTTCATGTAGATGTACCTTTGTAGAAGACCAGATTTCCTGTCCACTCGACTGCTCTCTTCGAGGACGGTTCCGTGTCATAAAAGAAAGAATTGTACCCAAAGGGAACCGCAATTCGGTTTTCAGGCTGCAAAAGCAAACTCGGCAAATCTGTGATGGGGGATGCTTTCGTAGTAGCAGAGCGCCGATGGCATAATGCAGCCAGTAAAATAATACAGAGAGGCTGTCGTAAGAATGGCTTTGGTCCAAAACGGTAACTTTTGGTTATCGGGGTCGGCGGCCTCGTTGTACTTTTTGCCAACCCACATTGAAATACCCATTGGATCGTCGTTCAAGGCGATGCCAATATTGTGAGGCTGGATCATGGAGAAGTTGAAGTGCAACAACTTGCAGGAATCGGTATACTTTGAGCCGAGTTCGCGGCCAACAAAATAGCCGAATTCGCCGCATTGCATCATATACTCATTATAGCCGAGCTTCTTCATCGACTTGTCAAAGATTCGCGCATCATCCTGCATCGTCCAGCCCGCTCGTGGCGGCCAATCCGATCAACAGAATCCTGGCATACTTAGTACTACAACGTGGAAAGCTTGATCATTTGGGTCCGTGTGATGAGAGAGTGATTCGCAAACCTGGCTAAATTCCCAAAATGAACCTGGCCAGCCGTGAACGAGTAGCAAGGGTATCGCGTCGGGCTTTTCCGCACGAGCATGCAGGGAATGGATCTTGACATCTTCAATCGGGGTAATGTAGTGCGGAAACTCGTTGATCTCCTTGTGCACCGCGAACCAATCGTACTCTTTGGTCCATGCTTCATAAAGATCGCTGGCCTACTTGTACGTTGGGCCTTAACAGAGAAATTAATCGTATGTCACAACTTACAAAGAAATCTCAAACTGAGGGGCGTGCTCCGCACCGTAGCGAGTTCCGGCGCCAGGGACAATCTCTCGTCCTGGAAGCCGTGTATCTCTTAACTCTCGTTGCAGACATTCGACTTCCTCTGCGGAGATGTCGACTGTGAATAGGTGAATGTCTGACTCCGCCATATCGGAAGAGGTATATAAAGGAGCCAGAGAACGAACGTAAAGAGCGTGGGAATAGCACTGAAATAGATCAGTAGTTCTAGAGGTAGATACGGGCACTCAGAGCACAAGGACTTCGGCTTCAACCTTGGCAAGTGGTTCAAGTGTATCAACTTCTTTGCGGACTCTTACACGTTGGGAAGAGAACTGGTAATAAGTTTCCGACAGCTCTCATGAACCCGTCAAATAGTAGCTCGGAGCAAGGCCGAGTCGATTTAGTGATCCTCGGTGCGCGCGTCGAAGATTAGTAAGCAGGCCAATCATGATTGAATCGGCCCGGCCTCGGAGGGCACGATCGTCTATTACACCTTAGGCGGGGTTAACCGATGCCGGAAGCGGAAAGTCGTACCACTTGCTCCCCAAAACGGTGAGCCGATTGTATTGGGTAAAGCGGTAGGCACATAGAAGTGCTAGAGGTAACAGTCTCTCGTTTCCTACAATGGAACTTTTAGGTGTTAGTTTTTAGCTTGTCAAAGCCGAGGGAGCATTTGCGAGGTTACAGCTCGAGCTACTGATTACTGCACTCGGCCTGACTCCGCTCCACGCCAGAGATGTGATTATATAAGCGCAACTGCTTTCCCCCTCCTTACCGCTTCCTGACCTCAGAGAAGCTTGAGCTCGGGCTCGACGCGAACTAAGTGATAAAACCAAAAGTGTCCATCATAGCAACACCGTTTCAGAAGACGCAGTTACTAGTTATCTTGAAATCTCGTTCGAACGACAGAGTCTAAGATGGCACTGCAAGGGAAAGTCGTATTCCTGGTGAGTTGTGCCGCCTGCGCAAACAAGTCGAATGACGAAGATATGGGATCCTGATTCGAATGTAATGTATAGACGGGAGCCTCTATGGGGATCGGTGAGGCGATTGCGACGTCGTTAGCCGATGAAGGAGCGACTTTAATCCTCGTTTCGCGCTCAGAGGTTGGACTTCCTCGCCCGCAGCCGTGAACTTCGACAAAGAGTCTAGGGAACCTCATGCTAAAGACTACCACAACGAATGACAGGATAAGCTCTCAACACTGGCGAAGAACCTGACATCCTCACATCCCGGCTGCAAAGTCATCTACAAGGCTGTGGACGTGGGAGATCAGAAAGCTGTCGATGCTGCAGTCGCTTCATCGATCCAGGAAATAGGCCAAATCGATGTTCTCGTCAACAACGTGCGTTCTTCCCTTTCCACTATTTTTCCTCTTGAGCCTTGATTGAGACGATTACACAGGCCGGTCTTGCTCTTGGTGCCCCTGCCGCATTTCCCCAATTGAGCATCTCCGATATCATGACCATGAACAACACGAACATTAACGGCATGATGTGGGTGACTCACGCCGTGCTCAACCAATCGATTCTATCCCGGAAGGAGGGGACGATACTCAACGTCACGTCTACAACCGCACTCGAAGTCCCACCCTTTCCAGGCGAAGCCGTGTATCACGCTAATAAAGCCTTGCAAGAGGGTTTTACAAACGTCCTCCGGCACGAGCTAAGCCAGACCAATATCCGAGTCCTTGCACTACGCCCCGGCTGTGTCGTTACGAACTTCCATTCCCTTCGGGTGGGGCATGACAAGGAGAAGTACGATAAGTTCTTCGAAGGGTTCCAGTACGTTAGCCTTCCTCCCCGATAAAAATTTGACGGTGAAGTCGCATGCTCATCAACTCCGCTGCGTTTAGGCCGCTTGACCCAGAAGATGTTGCTCGCGCAGCTATCTTCATGCTTAGCCAACCGCTCAACGTGTCGATCAAGGCTTTAGATATCGTCCCTTCCGGTGGGTTACCCGTTGCATAGTTTAATTATTCGAAGGGCTAAACGGACTGTTAATGCGTATCCTAGCACAACGCTCTCTAAACGTCTTCGACCGCACATGGAATGAACGTAACGGGCAGGCATAGTCCTCGAAGTTATCCTTGCGCTTACGATCCAATCGGGCATCCTTGCATGTTTTGCGGGCTACGATGAGGGTTGAACGATGAAGGAGTGATCAGAGATCAGGAGGAAGAGCTGGAGTAGCTATAGGGGTTGTTAAGCTTTCTGGAAGCTAGCTGCTAGTGGCTGTTGAGCGATTGAGAGGGAAGAAATTTCGTTGATCGACTATATCTCTTTTACGATGACGATGATTATGTTTCGCACCTGTTAGGACCACTACAATGTGTAATGAAGACACTCCATGAACACGGCATCAAACAGGGAAATTGTAAGTAACTAGAGCACGACAGGGCGGAGGAACTAGCACAAGCCTTATGCGCCACCCAATTGTATAGGTTCCGTTTCGCACAACCCGTTCCAGCAGTTGGCCGAGCCCTTCCAGACCCTACGAACGACGATTGCCTTCGCAGCTTAAGGTATAGGTCGTTCACGGATCGGCGTCTGCTGACGCAAAAAACCACTTTCTAGAACACGTCGGCGGAAGGAAGTCCGAAGCAGCAGCTACAACAGCTGGCAGAATAGACTTTTGAGGACTATCATGACTCCGACTGCTCATGCTGACCGCAGTAAAGCCATGTTTGCTTGAGCAAAACCATGTTTTCCGAAACAGCAGCACGCTCTCCCGAGTAAAACTGTCCTCTGTCGAATAAAATGATGCTATCCCGAGCAAGACCGTGACGTTTGAGCAACCTCTACCGTCGCGAGCAGAAGCATGCCGTCTCGAGCAAATTGCAGAAAGCTGCACTCAGCCTTTGCGCCCCAACCCCAAGACTCTCTTCAGTCTCTCGACTATCTCCCGCACCGAAGGCTACGAGTAGTTCACCGAGCTCTCTCCACCAATAAAGATAAAGATGTCGTACACCGCCGCACCGATCATCGAACCAGCCAGGTCTGCACCCCAGCAGCCACCTATCCACCACCAGTTCCAGAAAGTCTGCGTTCCGTAAACCAGCTATCAACGCGACGAGCCTTGTTGCGAAATCCCTCATCGGGTTCAAGGACGGTTCGGTGTTGTGTCCCAACGTGAGATTGAGCATGGTGACCACCAAGCCGATAATCAGGGCGTCAGGGTGTCCATCCTGCACCAGGTGGTGAGTTTTGATTATCTCCTAGGGCGAAGACAATGCAGACTTGAACCGCGATAGCTAGGAACTCGCTCCAGAACGCTGTTGCGACGCTGATGTACTCAGTTGGGACTTTGTAGAAGGATTTGCCAGCGAACTCCGTTAGTCCTGGGTCAACCTGGAGGATAGCGTCGCGGTAGATTGACCACGTAAGACCGTTGGCTGTGAGAGAGCCCAGGAACTGCGCAACCAGATACACCCTGAACTTGTGCCAAGGGAAGCCGCGATATGCTGCGAGGGTCAACGATATGACGGGGTTGACGTGTGAGCCGCTGACGCCGCCGGCTAGATAGATCTCCGCCATGGTTGCGAGACGATGCGTCCAGCAAAGCGTCTCGTATGCCCCGTACTCGGGATTGACTCTGGAATGCTATCAGCGCTAGGTAGTTCGCTGTGAGGGAGTAAGAGACTAGCCGGTAAGTAATGTTGCCGCAAAGCGCAAGGAAGATAGATATGGTTGCCTAAGATGTAAGCCAGAAACTGGACAAGGTGTGCTGAACCCTGCAGCTGCACACTCACCGCCAAATACTCGGCGGAGAAGTCCAGATACCTTGCTCTGAACCGGGCCAGAGGGTTTCGATGCCGGTCATAATTGGCTCGCCGCTTATCTTCCTCCCGCTTCTCATTCTTCTCCTCCTCTTCAGCTTCGGTTTGGTCCTTTGATGCGGCTCTCGGTGACTGCGTCGTGCTCGCATCCGCTTCGGACTCGGTCTTCTTAGCCGACGAAGCAGTTATTCCTTCTTGCGATGAAGCATCTTCTCGATCCACGCCAGCATCCCTGTGATACTTGTGAAGCCATAGACCGAAGAAAGTGTGAGCTGAATCTGATGCCATAGCACTTACCTACTTCTGCGACATGGGCGCCACTCCGCCCCCTCTTGCCTGCCAGTCTTTTCCTTCTCGATATCGGGCTCCGGTTCGTGTGGCTTGTCCCCGTCTCGATCCGCATGCCGGCGTCCCTGGTGGCCTCGCATCTTATGTGGAAGTGATTTTGCCAGGCCATAGACTGGCAACGACCGCGGCTGGTTATATCAAGGGTTTAAAGCTGTATACAGTGTTGCTAATCGTTCGGACAGAAAGCCTGTATGAACAATTCGAACGGTAATAGTTCATAACGGCGGTCTACCGGCGTACCGGCTAGCTAAGCCTCCTTAGGTAATTCCGGAGCTTCCGAGCTATGGTATCACGAAGCTTGGCAGGGTGTTGAACCCCTCGCACCGGATGCCTGCGGAGCGCTCTTAGGTCATTGATATAGTGATTGGTCGATCAAATCAAGTTGCTCTTTAGCTCTATCAAGCAGCTAAGATGGTATCAAAGCCCGTGACTTTTAAGCTTAGCTGATAGCAGGGATCGCCGACCGTTCATACCGGCGGCACGATAAAATTTAGCCCTACCGGCATCGGTCATGCCGGGTACGAACGATTAGCAACACTGGCCGTGTACTCATCCGTGGAGTGGCCATTGTGGCGTTGATCCGGCTTATTCTGGTGTGCCCCATGTTTTGAATGTCCGTCGCCCACTCTGGGATGACGTGCGGAGGGGTCGTCCAGACCTCCTTGTGTTGCGTTAGCATACTTTGCGGGAACCTGGTACGCTTGGAGATACTGGGATAGATACTTCCTGCGAAAGAGATCGTCGTTCCTCGTCCTCTTGAGCTCAATCGATAGTTGAATTGAATCTCCGAAATCTCAAAAGACCGACAGACTGTGATTATATCTCAGGCAAGCGACTTTAAGATATGAAGAAGGTCCCGCTTGGCCCCGAATGAAATGCTGCGCAGCGTGTCACGGAGTGAGATCCGACAGGTTTCGGTTACCTCGTTAATGCTTGTATCTTATATCAAAGTCTGGATTGTGGACGTTACCGCGTAGCTACGTAACAACTGCATCCGTCCGTGGGGTAATGTGTGTCGAGAGTTTGTAACACCATCTTCATCATGCGACTGGATGTGGCGGGATAGAGCGCCCCTTCAGCCAATGCTGAGGCGGACCTTTCTGTTGAGAAGACAATTACAAGCCGCTGTATGGGAGGCGTCGTTCTTAAATGGTGACTTGCCGCTGCTCCAGGACTTAACTACATCGTTTTCATGTGAACACTTCGTACGGTACTCATATTAAATCCATGAAGCTGTAGATATAAATTGGCTGCAATGTCATACATCGTCACTTTTGCACAACTAGCAACGATCTTTGGGATGAGAGAATCGCTCAATTGCTGTATCTAGCGAGACATTGCTCCGCATGACCAGGGATCCATCTTACTCGTCGCGCCATTTGCCAGATACCGCTCCATGTTGTGCTTCAAAGGAACTGACCCTGGCGGTTCCCCCACGCTGTTCAATGTTTCGGCCGTATCAAATTTGGCCGGTAAGGCGCGAGCAGGATTCTCATGTGTCTGCTATTGATGCCGGACCCCCCTTCAACCAGGCTGTGCTGCTGGCGGCCAATCCAGGTGTGTAGTTGCGCCAGCGGATGTTGAACGGAAGGGCGACCGAAGGACCGAACCGCGACTTGCGCCTTCCAAGGCTTTTGACGGCCGTTCTGCCGTGGGTTAGGGTTACGTGGCTCACATGCATGTGATTCGTAGTAACAGTATCATCCAAGACTGTACGAGACTATCCATTACAGCTCTTCATTGGCGCCGTCATGGTTCAAATAGAGTTCCAGAGAGACAGTCGTAGAACAGTATGCTGAACATATAGCGGGATGCGGGCAGCCCTGCACGGAAGGTTCTATGTATGCATGGCTCTCGGAGCGCCAGTAACTACGGATCCCTTTATCCTTCTTTCTCATGCAGATACTTCATTTCCTTCCCCGGATTGGGCTGCGGTACCATGCCCAAGTTTTGGAGCGCCGTCATGGCTCCCCCTTCTCCCGTCTCGTCCACGACTTTCCTGTCTCCCAAGGTGAAGATCGTGGTGCCGGAGAAGTACATCTTCTTGCCTGTGTTGGGTTGAAGCTTCCCAACGGCAAGATCGTTGAATGCGACGCCGGTATGAGTACCTCCACCAATCCAGCACCCGACAACCCAAGGACCGCTGGCAATAAGTGGATGCTGATACGCGTGGAAGGAGATGTCCGGGAATGCCTGCGCAGTCAATCAGCGGGACTGAAGCAACGTGCTGAAACGCAGCCAGCATGCATTCGAATGGAACAACGAGTCTTGAAATGAGCAAGACATTGGTACTCACCTCCTTGAATCCAACCATCATCTGCTCCGCAGCCTCTTCGCCATATCGGGGGCCATGTATAGGATAGTTGATAACGAAGTCGTCGACGCAAAGCTTATCCACAATGCCCTGATTGGCTTTCCCCCAGTATTCGCTGAAGTACTCGGAGATGACTTCAAGGTTCTTGGACTCTTCTTGTGTAGGCATCTTGGTCGTTGCGCTTGAAAGTGATCGGAACTGGATGATAGGAATCTAAGAGCGCAACAAGGTCGACCCTAATGAGAGTGTAGCTTGCGATTTGATGTCCATTTTATTTGCCGGCGGCCGTCCCTTTATATCCCCCAACTGTATATCGGGAATGACTTTTCAGCTTGGATGAGGATTGTTTACATCTACATCCACAACATCCTGAGTGGAGTTTGATGTTGCTGTTCAATTATCAAATCAGCGCAGCGAATCTAACGACAGCGCCGATTGATTGGCCAGTTTGAAAGCAATGGCGTCATTCCGAGAATCCGCCGGAGCAGTAAGGTATTAATTCTCCGTCACTTGTAATCTACTTACTCAAGTATATCTGTGTCGTCTTACTCTACTCAGATGCAACCCTTCTCAATTGTCCTTGAAGCCAGGTTCTCACGGTGGGCGCGAAGTCACCATTTTCCACCCTAAGCCCCAGAACTAGCTCTCACGTCATGTACACAACCCCACCCAGCCGCTGGCAGGCCTTACAAACCCGCTGTCCCTCCGCTCACTCCGCCTTCGTCTACGCCGTCCTGACGACCCGCATCTACTGCCGTCCCACCTGTTCCGCGCGACTCGCCCGCCGCGCAAATATTGTCTTCTACGATACAGCGGCAGCTGCCGCAGCAGCCGGGTTCAGGGCATGTAAGCGCTGCAGACCTGAGCAACGGCAAGGTTCGGGCGGGGACGATGGGCAAGAAAAGGCAGCCCAAAGAGCCCGTGAGATTATCGGAAGAGCTCAAGGATCGGTGACGCTAAAAACAGTGGCGGAAGAGGTAGGATTATCATCGAGATACCTACACGGCATTTTCAAGAAGGTATTTGGTGTCACACCGGGGGCGTACGCGGAGAAGTTAAGACGAACAGAGGGACACGTGATGGAGGAGGGCGACGGCCCGCAACAGCAGGAGGGGCTGGCAGATCTATCTCTTAGGAGCCAGTGCGACTTAGCGGACAACGGTGCGGGATATGCGGGACTCGATGGCTGCATAGCTGCGGCCGATCTGGACAGCCTGAGACTCACTCCGCTGCTATCTGACAATGGTCAACCAGCAGGGTTCGCCAGCTGGGAAAGCTTACTCGGGGTCGATGCGACCTACGGATGCGACGCCGTAACAAACACAGAAACACCATTATTTACTCCTTCGGCCGACAGCTCGGGCTCTACACCCGCTGCGATTGCGCACCTAGAAAACTCCTACTCGCTTCCACCTACGCAAGACAAAACAGTCGGCCAGGCCACAGAGCAAATGGTACATGATTTGGGCATCGAATGTCCTCTCATGCCTCTAGATTGGTTCACAATACCAGACGATCACTGGTCTACGGATATGAATCAATGGCTGGATTACAGTATGGATGACGCTGCTATGATCGGGAAGCTTTGCCTAGAGCCAGAGTTTGGCTACAAGGTCGTACCGTAGTCCAGCGATCCGATGCGGACGAATTCGCTCACTACCAGAGTTCGAACTCTGTGGAGCCACAGTCGTTTCGCACTCCGTCACAGTCACCACACAACCAACTATCACTGAGGCGGTTGGAAATTGCTGCTGCATCTAAGGCAAGAGCACAGCACTGAAAGAACTGGAACAGTATCTCAATCGCTAGGCCACGAATTCTCGCCGGGTTACCGCGTCCGTAGGCAGTTGATTATGAAAGACCAAAAGCCGTCACGCCCAGTGTGTCGTTCCCCTCAGCCCCGCCCGATCAACGTGATGATCCGCTGCGGGGAGATCGAATTTATTGGATCCGGCGTCTTGCTGGAGAACATCGGCGGAATGGAATTCCTTCTCATATTCAGCGAGGACCCTTCTGGCCATATCAGGGTCGGCGGTGCTGGCAGGGGCGCATGGGGAAACTGATTCCAACTCGCTCTCGGAGACCGTATAGTACAAGTCGCTCTGGAAGTGATGAATACGGTTCATACTTGCGCCGTCTGCAGCAAGAGCTGACACGAAAGCACGGCCTTGATCACGAGCAGTATCGGCAGCAACGGCAGTTCCGGCGTACAATGCACGGCCTTACATGGAAGGAAGGCTGTTGTTGCTGTGTACTGTCCGACTTCATGCCACTTTATGGCCTGTCATTTCTCGTAGGTCGTAACGAAGCATTCTAAGGTCGTTTCCTACGAATGGTTCAGAACGATCTTGAGCAGTGACTACGGCTACTACAAAGACGCGTTGCGAGAAACCGTTGCGTTCATCGGATAGAGCATGAGTACAATCTGGACAGTTCCTGCAGACTGTTCGTTGAGTACTCTCTCGTTTCTAAATTTCGGACGTCTAACCCATCTTCTTCTTGTATACTCGTACTTGCAATTCTGATCCTTACCGCACTTCACCCTGGAAAAGCCCCAAGTCCACTAACTTCCCCTTCAAGACCGTCACTACAGCCTCCGGCGTCGGAGGCCATGTGATCTTCTCCAACTCCTCCCTGGTAATCCTGACCCAAGTAACCTCATCCTCCTTGAATCCCTCCGTCTTCCTTGTCGCGGCCTTGACCTGTTCCATCTCATCGTCCGGAATGGCGCCGCCGAAGAGTACGATCTTGGTGGCGCGCAACGGCTCGCCTTTTTCGGCGCGGGAAGCATTGGAACCGATTCCACAGGCCGGGGGAACCGGTGAGCCGACTAGCATAGTGGGGATTTCGGTGAGGGCATCTTCGAGAGTCAAGCTTGGGTGGACAACTTGGTTGGTTAGCTGGAGAGACAGCTAGGTTGAGATGACGGGGCATCGACTGGAGCGGTGCGCTCCACTGGCGGGCCGAGAGTGCAGACTTTTAAGGAAGCGGGAACACACGGTCGATGCCTGCCTGTGCCATATGAGCTTGAAGTTTTCGCGCCATTTCGGCACCACGGCCGTAGGCGGCTAACGGTATGCCTTCTGAAGACATGTTGTTCGCTGAGCTTACTGTATGGCGGCGGAACCACAGAGCTACAGTTCGCCCTTGAACGTAGGATAAGCTCAGCCTTAATAATCTGCGACATTCAGCTATCCCGGCACATGAGTAGCGAGTGCTTGAGGGGTAGATAAGCACTAATGCTAATGCGTTCTGTCGCATCCGTGAATGGCTCTCCAAGCCTCAGCTGAACCCTCGCGTCACGACCGATTCAGTCGTATTCGGTTCGTGCAGAAGCCGAGCTGAACTGAATCAATCGCATATCGGTGACCAAGTAGAATCACTATCAGACGCAATCTCCTGACCCGCGCTTTATATAGTGACATGACACTTGGAAAGACTACCTGCAAAGAAGCCGTCGCTAGAGCTGGAGCGCTAGCTGAACGCCTTGACGAAGTTGCAAGAGGAATTGATGTAGACAACCCAGAGATCACTGAGAAATAGAGTAGCGCTTTTAGGGAAGACGAGGGAGCGAAGAGATTGTTTCGCTGTCTAATCAGCGAGGATCGGGTCATAGCTATTGTGATAGGATGCGATCTGCTGGGTGAGATTATAGACAGGCTGCACGGTACGGCGGCAGTGAGATTCTGGAGTTATCACAAGCGCGGCTCGGTCCTGGGTATGATGGCTTGCTCTTCAACAAGCAGGATACCGTACACGGTCCTCAAGATAGTAATCACCGTCGGGCTGCTCTGTTCTGGAGGGAGTCTGAGGTGCAAAGGTACAAGGGTAAACTCACATCCCGCTCATTGCGTCATCGCTGAAGGCAGAGCGAAACATTGGGCCGGTACCTGCAGCCTGTCTTCCACCAACGCACCCAGAGAAGAAGTCTGTCCGACAATTGGAGTCTTGCGAGCACAATCAACAATGTCATCGCCAAAAACAATACGCTGGGGCATTCTCGCCACGGGTGGGATTGCACAAACTTTTACAAAAGATCTCCTATGCGACCCCAAGACCCGCGGGGTAGATTCCATTGTTCATACCGTAGTCGCAGCTGCGAGCTCTTCCAGCGCTGACCGGGCCCAGCAATTCCTTAAGGATGTAGGAGCTCCGTCAGACGCGAAGGCATACGGCTCGTACCAAGACCTTGTCAATGACGAGAGTATCGACATTGTGTATGTGGCTACGCCTCACTCGCATCATTACCAGAATGCCATGTTGTGTCTAGAAGCTGGGAAGAACGTGCTATGCGAGAAAGCATTCACCGTCAACGCAGCGCAAGCGAAAGCGCTCATCAAGAAAGCCAAAGAAAAGGTCCAGCTCCACTCCTACACCCAAGTCTTCATCCACTGACCGACTCCCAGGACCTCTTCCTGATGGAAGCAGTCTGGACGCGCTACTTCCCCCTCTCCATCTACGTCCGCGACCTCATAACCTCCGGCCGTTTGGGCCCCGTCCACCGCGTGACCGCCGACCTCTCCATGAGCATGTCCCCCGAGACCTCCTTCCCCGACGGCAAGCACCGGATGGTGAACCCCGAGCTTGCCGGCGGCGCTCTGCTCGACCTCGGCATCTACGCCCTGACATGGTGCTTCCAGACACTGTACCTGACGCAGCCGGAGAACGAGCGGAGGCGGCCGAGCGTACAGACCGCGATGAAGTTGTACCCGACGGGGGCGGACGAGATGACGACAATGCTGTTGACGTTTCCGAGGAGGAAGGAGTTAGGTGGAGACGCGCATGCTGTGGCGATGACCGCGATGCGGGCGGCTGTTGATCCGGATGGGAAGGGCACGGCGGGGCCGGCGGTCAGGATACAGGGTGAGAAGGGGGAGGTGCAGGTCTTCCATCCGATATTCCGGCCGACGAAGACGCGGCTGGTTCTGCAGGATGGTACTGTGGAGGACAAGACGTGGAAGCAGCCCGGTCCTGGGCAGGGCAGTGGGTGGAAGAATGGCTTCCAGGATATGGTGAATGAGGAAGGCGAGGGTCATGGCATGTTCTGGGAAGCGGACGAGGCGGCGATGGCGCTCGTTGAGGGGAGGAAGGAGGGCAAGTTCGAGGGTCTTGAGGAGAGCCTCGTGATCATGGAGGTGGTGGACGAGGTACGCAGACAAGGTGGACTAAGATACCCAGACAAGATCGAGACCACGGATTATCCAGTGGACTTGTAGGTACAACTTGTAGCAATCTAGCCATCCGCCTACAGCATCTACCTACCTCAGCTTCCGAATGTCAGTGACCGTGGTCTTTTCGCTTCGTTACCCCGTGATATTCATAGGTCAAAAGTTACGTGGTTGTTGGGTATTGGTTTACCCGCAAATGGTCTTATGCTGTTGGCCCTTCAGTGATGCCAATGATGTTGAGCCTAAATCTCTAAAGACCTGAACCCACTGAGGAAGGGATCTCACTCTTGAAGGGCCATTGACGGAAGCTCGCGCTTCTCTTTAATTGTTCCCGCGGGAGTCGTGCTTAGCGCAAAATCGAACTCCGCATCCTGATCCATGCATCCGTTCGTCCTGAGTAAGCCATCTCTCTGCTCCCCAGGCTTTTCAGCAAGCTCTCAAAGATCAAGAGTTAATACACAAGCACTCGGGTTTATATTCATCACTGTTTGCCCCACCCCAGCCTTATTATACAAATCGGTCGTTATATTACAGGAGTAGGAGTTGAACCCGAGGCTTTCAGGGACATTTTATGCCTGTGTGGTAAATAAATCATACGAGGCGACGAACAACTCAGCATGGCGGTGAACACTGGGCAGCTCTCTGCCGAAGGCCTAACGCAGCACTCCGTTGTGACCTCCTGCGGTTCGTTCATACACTGTCACTTTCGCCCACCAGTCCCACTGGCATCGCAGGCTTCACCTCGCCCGGTGCTGGTGCTCCTACATGGATACCCACAGACAAGCTTCATGTGGCGTCATCTGATTGAAATACTGCCCAGCGACATTCCGCTCTTCATGCCAGATCTCCCTGGCTACGGCCGAAGCACACCGTCTAGGACCGGCCATGACAAGCGTACGGTTGGACTGGCCGTCCTGGAAGCTCTTGACACCCTCCTGGGACAAGGATCGGGACCCAGGCTCCCACATCCCATCGTCCTCGGCGGGCACGACCGCGGCGCCCGAGTCTGTCACCGCCTCGCTGTCGACTTCTCCAACCTGAAGCTGTCCTTGGATCCTAGACTAGCAAATCTGGTCTCTCAGAAATTTAGCCTCGAGGGTACACTACTCTTCGACATCCTACCGACTGTCGAGCAATGGCATAGTTTCGCGAAACCCACTACGGCTGCGGGAAGCTACCACTGGTCCTTCCTAGCAAACATGCCGCTAGCGTTCGACATGATCAAGGCGTACGGGCCAGCAAAGTACTGCAAGGACTTGATCGCGCGCTGGCAGGGGGAGAGTCCTGCGGGTTTGCACTCTGATGACGCCGTTGCTGTATACACCGCTGCCTTCGAGAACGATGACGTTGTCCGGGCGACTTGCGAGGACTATGTCGCTGGCGCCGGCGTGGATGTTGAGGAGCAGGAGAAAGATCAGGAGGCGGGAAGGAAGATGGACGGGAATGTGCTGGTGGTGTACTCTGAGAGATTTCTTGGGAAGGGCGGTAAGGTCGATGTTGAAGGAATCTGGAGCGACTGGGTCAAAGAAGGCACGCATTTGGCGGTGGAACCTATCAAAGGTCATGCCGGACATTTCATTGCGGAGGAGGCGCCGGCAGAAGTGGCTGAGATTATGATGAGGGTCCTAGGGAGTTGTTTGAGTAAAATCTAGCTGTAGTTGTTGGGAAAATGCATGGTATGTAATCTTCCCTAGGGATGCACCTGAGATTCTAGCAGGAAGGGGTGCGCTTGAATATGGTTGTTGTAGTATGGGAAAGTATTGCAGCACCTGCAGGGAAGACGCCACCCCACGAGGCTCTGCGGGTATGGCTTCATGCACGTGACACTCGCCCCTCTGCCGCACGCTCCGCTTGATTGCGCCGTTTCATCAACCGTTAGCATAACCAATCAATTCCACTACACACACAACATCGATATAATCTGCACTCGCGTAACCGATGCGCAGAGTAGCGTGGCTCCAAGTGGCAATTAATCAACTCAGAGTCCAATCAGTCTTTTCAATCGCGCATCTGGGATCAGCAACGATGGCGAAAGTTGGGGTAACGCTGGAGCCGGTTTAGCCACCCGCCGGGAAGCATGCCTCCTGGAGAGACTCCATTCGATAGGGGCAAAACACGGTAGGGCTTGACATGTGTAGGTAAATAATCCTGGCAGCGCGAAGGCGTGGTTGGTTTTCCGGAGGGATGTCGCCTCTTCGTCTGTCTCCAGTCTTTTGTCACGCTTCCTCGTCACTACGTGCTCTCTCTACCTAATGTCTCAATCACAATGAACCTCAATTTGCTGCTGTTTACATTCGTCGCGTACTGCGTAACTCTAGGGGCCGCTCATGGCGGTGATATACCGGTTTGCGCTGTGCGATCTCCAAATCTTTGCACTCTTTGTTCGTTACATTCTAACAGTGTGCTTAACAGGACGCTTGCTTCTCCGCCGGTATAACCCTCTCAGGCTGCGCATTTGATGACCTTGTCTGTCAATGCACGGCCAAGAATGATTTCATCTCCAGCTATGTTACGACTTGTCTCTTCACGACACATCCTTGCTCAACCACCGATCTTGCTCGTATGTCCCCCGGGTGCCCTGCTATGGGTAATGGAGGCCTTCCCGATTCTAACACTTCCTTCAGAGGTCCAAGGCGCCGCTCACAGACTCTGTGCCAGCGCACTAGCCAACGCGAGCCTCATCAACTCCTGGCCCGTGGCTACTGCGACTTCCACTCCTTCTGCGACCGCCAACAGCACCGGCGCAAACATTACTTCCACCGCCCAATCTTCCGCATCCGCAACCTACAGCCATAAACACTCAGCCACCAGCTCGCCAACCGCCGCTCCCAGCAACGACGCCGTTTCAGGCTCTCTCAGCACTGGCGCAAAAGCCGGCATCGGCGTCGGAGCCGGCTCCCTCGCTCTCTCGGCGGCGCTTCTGTTCTACCTGCGATGGCGACGGCGGCGCCGACCCAAACATGCTTATTCTCTCGGCGACTCAGACTCGACCGAGCAGGTTACCACCAGACCTTCATCTGCGCCGCCGGAGCTCAAGCTGCTGGAGCTTGGCGCATTCGAGAAGCCGCTTGAGTTTGAGGCGTTGGAGAGACCGGTGGAGCTGGAGGCAAGGGAGAGGCCGTTGGAGCTTAGGGATACCTCTCGCATTGCGGAGCTGCCGGGGTAGTGCTTTTTCGAGCGAGTGATGGAAGGCGCTGAGAAGGAGCTGGGATTATGTGGTCTTTGAAAGTCCCAGGGTCCCTGCCTCTTAGTTCCCTGAAGACTTCTCATTTCCCGCCAGCGTTGAACGGCGTTTACGCTCTGCGCGCTTCTTGACGCAGCGGTTACCACGGCCGGGTTGTTGTTCCAAAACTTTAAAAGGCGTTTTGTGCCACCGACTGGAAGCGAGTGACATTGGTTCTCTGAGTGTCCATATCATTGGACAGTCAGCTTAGTCGGATTCTTGCATTTGAGGATGGATGGTTTGATTCAGAACGCTGGACTTATTGGCGGTAAGACGCTCCCGGCAAAGGCAACATATTGTACGAGCAAAGGCAACATATCGACGAAGGATGACGATTGTACTATAAAGCAACACGAACTCAATCTGCCATGCTGGTAGTGTAACAGGAAGATTTTGATAGCTAGGCTCTTGACGTGCAGCTTTCCCGGCGTCACCCGCAAACTGAGATGAAGGTCCCCATGTTTCACATACCATCAGGCTGCATAGCCACCCCTGTTCTCGTGTCCTCTTCCCTAGCACGCACCTGAGATGGTCACTCTTCCAGTGCGACTACGTGACCGCCATACTCCGAACCTAAACCCGTACGTGTGCTCCCCCACCGGAGAGGAGAGTCTCACAATCGCTTCCCTCGAGAGCCGGACACGGAGCTCATTACTCCCACAGCTCCATCTACGTGCTGAACCTTGAGCAGGCGTCATGTCCAGCTGAAGCCGAGAGTGAGCAGACTGAACAACGCAAATGGCAGCCCGGTCTGACTGCGTGACTCTGCAGGTGACTGGCGCGCATCATGTGGACGTCGGGCATGTTGGAGCATCGAAGGCATGACGTGTAAGCTCGTCCGAAGATGCGCTCGTGTCAAGATGGGAGGCCGGGCTTGTTGATGATGAAAGACATTCAACCAAGGACCTCCACACCTTTGAGGGTATTTTCCATGCGGCCCATTGCTGAAAGTGGCACGACCCTGGCGACAACCTTCCCCTTGATCATCGCCAGTGGGAAGGGGCCAAAAAGCCGTGAATCTCGGGAGGCACTCTGATTATCTCCTGCAAGCCAGCAGTGACCTTCAGGGACCTGGACAGTTGCCACAGCACATTAGCCGGTGTAGATGATGAAACCGACAGCATGCACCCCCACCTGAACCATCAAGCCCTCTCCCTTCCCCGGTGTATCCCTCAGCACAAAATCTCCCGGCATCCCCATCACCCTCTTGATAGCCGCCTCTTCTGGCTCAAAGAGATGCCTGACACTGACCAGATCTCCAACTTCAATATATCGGCCTCGGCGGTACTTCTTGTTGATCACAACGCCCTCGCCGTCGGCGGCCATGGTTGGCAGCATGGAGGCGCCGCGCGTGCCCTTGATGGTGTAGGCGTGCCGGATGAAGACGTGGAGAAGTAGCGCCATCTTTGCCGTCTCTATGAGTAGAGTCCGGTTTGTCCTGGGCCTGGCCTCAAGAACACGCGCCCACAGGCGTCCTAGAAAGGGTCTCATGGCTGGCCGGAATGCGACGTGTGCATTGGTGAGAGTTCAGCAACTGCGGTGCTGGTGAGAAGATGAGATGGTGTCGGCCTCAGGCTCTCAAACGTTCAGCCCGTGCTTCCTTCCATCACGAAATACGCACCCTCTCACCTGCTCGACATGGACAAAACCTAAGCCGGGCATTGAAAAAAGTGCCAACGAGGCTGATCTGTCGCGAACCAAGATCCGGACAGCTGAGGCGCGTTAGGTAGTAGATGGCTCCGACATACGATCCACAAGCGGATCCTTCTGCGGCTGTAAGAGGTTTCCATGTCCATTGTACCTACATCACCAAGTTTCACTATCAAAATCTGCACTCTCTATCCGTTTCGACCAATCTCAGCCTCTCTCTAATTTCGTCGCTCTCTCCAGTCTATTACGGAGCTCATCACCTCCTACCATGAGCTCAATTCTCAAACAATCGACGAGCTCGACGAACAGCCCAGTCCCCTGGAGTTTATGAGATATGTCGCCCGCAACCGCCCACTCGTAGTCAGAGGGGCCGCCGTCGACTGGCCAGCCTGCAAGAAATGGAACTTCGAGTTCCTCGCCAACGGAGAAATGGGCGGCGGAAATGTCGGGGTGGCTAAGACACCTCACGGCGACGCCGATGCACCCGTCGAGGTTTCTGGCATGGGGCTCTGTTTCGTTCGGCCTCACTACGACAGCACAGAGTCTCTTGACAACGTCCTGGCAGAGATCCGAGACCAGGAGGAGGACAAAGAAAGGGGGAACTCCCAGATGTACGGCGCGTACTACGCCCAAACGCAGAACAACAACCTCCCAGAGGAGTACGAGGAACTATACCGCGACGTCCCCGAGTCCATCCCTTTCGCGCGCATAGCGTTGCAGAAGAAACCCGACGCCGTGAACATGTGGATCGGCAACTCGCTCAGCACGACCGCGCTCCACAAAGACAACTACGAGAACATCTTCGTGCAAATCCTCGGGCAAAAGCACTTCGTGCTGCTCCCGCCAGTCGAGTCCGCCTGCGTAAACGAGCAGGAGCTCCCTGACGCGACCTACGTGCGTTTCGACGTGCCCCAGGAGGTCTACGACTACAACGACGCCCACGGTATCCGCGACACGGTCAATCTCGAGCCTGAACTCGACGACCCGCCGACAAAAACGACTTTCCCGACTTGGGATCCTGATAATCCCACCCTGCGGCCTACGCCGTTCTCGCGTTTGTCTAGGCCCATGCGTGTCACGCTCGATGAGGGAGATATGCTCTATCTTCCTGCGTTGTGGTATCACAAGGTCTCTCAGACCTGTAATAAGAAGGAGCGCCTCTGCATCTCGGTCAACTACTGGTACGATATGGAATTCAGCGGCTCGTTCTGGTCGCTCTGCAACTTCGCGCGGAGTGTTGGCTTGTCGGCCACGGCTACGGCGGCTGCGGCTACGGCTGCGGCGACGGCGGAACGGGAAGCAGAGAATAGACGGACGGATGAAGCGAGAGAAGAACAGACACGCGACGCCATGCGGTGGGATGACGATTGAAAGACCATCCAAGGCTCTACTGCCCGCTCTGCGGCATTCGGAATCCAGCATATGCACTCCGCGATTTAGTAAGTTTCATCCAAATTTGCCACTTTCTACGGAGGTTCACATGAACTTCTAGTTGTTGCACAGGGATTTCTGCCGCTTTGTTCATTTAAGAGCGGCTGGATAAGTAGCAAGTCTTGGTCGCAAGTAGCCAAGAGCATGGAATGATGGAGGAACAAGCCTAGCTTTATGCGGCAGCGAGTCAACTATAATCATCCAACGGGTATCTCAAGTCAAGCCCAAGCCCTTGCAGCCAGATACGCCCAGTCCATGCGCCCTCAATGCAGCAACGCGAACACTACGTCTTCAACTTAACCTTGATGCCAGCATACTTCACACTCTGCCAAACACTCTCGCTGACCCTCGTCGGCAATTTCCTCCCCTTCAGAACCTGATCAATCAGCCACAACCCCACCACAAACTCCTCCCTCCCCAGCCTACCAACCCCACGCGCATCAACAAGATCCCACACCTCCTCAAGCACATGCCCCGGAAGCCGGCTTCGGGACCAAACGTCCCTAGCCACGATATTCAGCACTTCGTCCTCCGCGGCCGGATCCGAGAGGTACAGTCCCCTGTTCGCCGCCCAGACGCCTTCATATCTTTTCCGCTCCCGCTCTGTGATCCTGTCTCGCCACCTCTTGCGATCGCCTTCATGGTGCTTGTTCGGATGTTTGCGCCGCATGAACCCCGTGCGTTTCTTGTATCTATCGTCCTCGTCGCTGCTGCTGCTGCTCTCCGGTTCGCGCAGCGTGCGGCGGAGCGTGCCTGGTTTTGCTCTGGGTGGGCTGTGGCTGTGTGAGCGGAGGGTTGGGTGGTGGTGGTGGTGCGGTTTGCGATGGCGGCTGAGATGGTGGCGGCGCTCTGGGAGGGGAGGGGCGTCGAGTATGGCGGGGGAGGGGTTGCGGGAGCTGGCAAGCGCGGCGCCGACAATGGCGTTGGCGAGGGAATCGCCGGTCATGTGCGGCGTGATTTGGCGGAGGGATTGGGTCTGGTAGGAGGAGGTAGCTGAGTAGGCGGGACGGCCAAGGGGTTCTGGGGGCGCCAGGGTCAAATTGTTCGAGCGCCGGGGGTCTTGTGGAGCTACCTGCTGAGCAGGAGGTACGGAGTTCGATTGAGATCGAGCGACAGTCGGCGCTGGGACTTCATCGGATTTGGGATCTTCTTTCTTGGTTCGACGTGGCGGAGGCAACATGGGTTTTGTCTTGGCCGGCTGTTGATCTACTGCCAAGGGTGAATTTGAGGTCAGGGCAGTGCCAGATGGAGCAGTTTCGATGCGCGTCAGAGGAATGACGGGTCGGATAGCCTTATACGGAGGGCTTGACGGTGTTGACGCTGCCGTGACATTTGCACGCTCTGGCGTATCGCGAACTGGATCCGAACGAGGAGGACTTGCTAGAGCAGAGCCAACTTGCGGCGGCGCAGCTGAGGCAGGAGCCGAACGGACGGGAGTAGGCTGGGTCGGTTTAGGGAGCTTGACGGAGCGTGGCGGTTCTCGAGAGAAACGAGCGCTGGTAAGCTCTGAAGGCTTGGCCCTTCCGCCCTCATTCTGCTCAAAGAGCTGCACCAAGGATATTGTAGGAGCGATTGGTGTATCGTCAGTCGTCTTGCCTCCACTGGAGCCTCCGATGTTTTGGGCTACAGGTCGGCTGACCTCATCTCTCGTTCCATCTGTGCTGGTACCAAGCTTCTCCAACCTTGCCCTTGCATTCCTTACTGCCCCAGCACGCGCTGACTCGCTGCCTGGTACGACAGGGGATCCGTCGGAGAGCCTGGGAGACATGTACCTAGATGCTGCTGCTTGCGGAGTATGTCGAGCTGCGGCTAATGAAGCGGCAATTGCTGAAGGTGATTGTAGGAGAGGCGCGCGTCCGGCCGATGCTGGCAGTGGTCCGGATGTTGCAGGTCTGCCGACTGTTGCAGGTAGGCTCGAGGTAGACGACGTCGTGATTTGGCTGCCTCCCGTATTCTGACGGCTCAACGGGCTTCGTGACAATGGTTGCTGCGCGTTCGTTCGTGGTCGCTGCTTCGACGAGGGTGGAGTGCCAGCCTTGTATCCAGCGACCAGCGCCCCATTGCTTGTAGCAGAGGGGTTTACAACCGGCCTTGACTTGCTTGTTGGCTGTGCAAAGGCTGATAGCGCGCCAAAAAGGGCAGCATCCCGGATGTTGTTCTGGGCTTCGGTGCGTTGTTGGCTGACGGAGGAGTTGGACGGGTTGGCGAGGGTCATCGACCCATTAGGAGCGGGAAAGGGA